AGCCACCAAGTGTGTGGTGTAGGCTCTCACAGTCCTAGACAGGCATTGGTGATTGGTGTAGGCACAGGCATCTGGCTGCGGCAGGGGGACACATTCCGAGCAAGACAGGTGGCTGACAGCCACCCCTGAGTGTCTAGGGGGAAGGCGTGTCCCTTTTCCCTAGAACACGTATGTGGGTGGGTTTTGCAGCCACGCTGTGAGCACCTAATGCTGTTGGCTGTAAGGATTGGGGGATACCTCTTACTCATGGGCCCCTATCGCAGGTGGTGTGGGTGGAGACACCAGTCTTCGGGCACCTGATGTGGGTAGGTAAAGACCCTGTTTAATAGGCAGAGCAGTGTCAAATGTCAAGACCCTGCTACTTCAAAGCTGAAACAGTGGAAGTTAGAGTTCCGGTATATACCCTGTTGTACTATGGTAATGAGGGCCTATGCTGTTGAGATGGGTCCACACAAGTCTATGCAGGTGGAAGGCATTCAAGGTCCATGGATCCCTTATGCGTGTGCCTAGGCAAAGGAGCTGTGCCTACCCTGGGTTCCTGGCTTAGGGGAGCCGGCAGTTTATTTTTTCCCATTTATTAATTTGTTCATTCTCCAAGGCAGGGAGAATGGCTCCAGGCATGTGACAGATCCTACTTCCGGCCCAGGGGACTGGGCAATTGCTGAAGCCGGTCCAGGACCCAGGGCAGAGCAGGGAGCGGGGAGGTTAATGGGAAAGAGGTTTTTCTCTAACGAGGGTGTTTTTTATCTGCACAGTAAGCCGTACACAAACACTTATCTTTCGCCGATGAGGGCTGCTTCTCACTGGTTCTGGGTGGCCATGTAGACTCTCTGGCACTGGGTCTCTCCTGGTGTGGAAAATGCGCCTCCTGAGTACCACCACTTGCCTGCCTCACCGCTCACCCACGAGCTGCTCAGGCCTGAAGGGCCCAGGCTCTCGCCGGGTCAGGTCTGGCAACTGCTCACTGCTTCCGAACTGTCTCTCCCTTCCCCTGCCGCTCAGTCCGGTTCCTCAACTCTGCCTTTGATGTTCAAGGCTCCCAGATTGCCATATATAATCGAATCACTTGTTTTTTGGGGTCTTTGTTGTAAGAGGGTCCACCGGAAGCAACTGAGTACTCCACCATCTTGGCCCTGCCTCCCAGATCTTGGTTTTTAATACCATTTTCTAATAAAAGAAACTAAGACTACTTGGAGAAATGGCTGATTTTCAGACTGGTGCAGGAAATATATAAGATGAGCCTGGAGTATCTTGTATCACCAGAAAATAAGAAAATTCTCAAAACAAAACAAAACCTACATTTACGGGAATATATCAAAAGGACACAGATGCAAACTGAAAGAGCTTTCAACTGTTCCAAAGGTGGAACAAATTGAGAAATAAAATTTAAAATGTACTATTGTATTATAAAGTAAATATCCATGAGTCCATACTGATATAAATGACTGAGTAAATAAACGAATAGGAGAGAGGAGACAAATTTCTCTTATAGAAAATTCCAAATAATTTATGCAGATACTCCTCCCTCGAGGAGGGGAAGCAAAATCCACACTTTTTAAGTGGAGGCTGCTCTTAGTTTCTTCCTTCCATAGAGTATAGTATGGAAAGAAGGAAAAAAAGAGTAATTTTCAGTAAAGATACCTAATAGACATTACCTCAGCCAGGAGATCAAGGTCAACATCACCAGTGATAAATCATGTTGATAGTATGTACACTTAATATGATGTGATGAAAATGGTACTTTACCTCTGCGTTCTTCCTTCCAAAAACCTATAGCCCCAGTATAATCACGAGAAAAACATCAGACAAATTTCAATAAAAGGGCATTCTCCAAAATATCTGACCAACACTCCTCAAAACTGTCAAGGTCATCAAAAACAAAAACACAAATCTGAGTAACTGTTACAGTCTAGAGGAACCTAAGGGGACATGAGAACTAAATATAATCTGGTATCCTGGCTGGGATCCTGCAACAGAAAAAAACACCAGGTAAAGCTAAGAAAATATGAATAAACTATGGACTTTAGTTAATAATAATGTATTAATATTGGTTCAGTCTTACTTTGTTTAACCTTTAGAATGAGTGCATTAATTTCACCTTTGAACTCAAACAGAAAGAAACATGCAACATAATCATGAAAGTAAAAAAATTCAGTATTTTTAAGGTAAAGGTATCGCTTATCAAACCATTATATACCTTCAAGCAGCTATGTTTTAAAAAATTGAATAAAATTATCTAAAATGCTTCTTATAGTTATAAGTACATGTAATATCAAGATAAAAGACTTGCTTTTTGACTCTTAGCCAGTTATAAGTCTTCTAGAGAGAAGAAAAAGGGAATGCATTTTTAATTCTAATGGAACGAAATAATACTATATGTATTTCTCATGTTTTAATGATGTTGTTTTGAGAACTCAAGGATGATACTGATCTCTCTAATTTCAACAATCAAAGGAAGAAACTGAAAATCAATACCTTTCTTCTTTGCTAAATAACTACTCAGGAATGGGTTTCCTTCCTCCAAAACCACTTCCCACTCCCAATCTCAGACCATCAAGCTTCTCTAATTTCTCCTCTTTGCTCTTAGCATCACAGATGAATATTTTTTTATCTTCTCACTTATCTGATATGTAAGTGGTAAGCCCGAAAATGGTCAAGGCTTTTAAATTTTTTATTCTAAATAAATAATCAGAGAGCTACATAAAGATTTCTGTACAAGGTGTAAGGATAGTAATTACAGCATTACATATATGAGCAAGAAGTTGGAAACAATTTTTAATCTAATCGTTGTTGCTAGTTGCCTTCAATCTGATTCCAACTTAGGGTGATTCCATGTGAATTAGTCATAATTAATAATGTTATACCCATACAATGGAATACCAGTCATTTTCCAAGAATACTTAAAATTTTATAAAAAGAATTTATAAAATTTCATTAAAAAATACACAGAAGAAAAAACTGAAATACATGATAAATTATTAATAGCAGTTCTCTAGACATAAACATTACAGGTGATTTTTACCTTTTTAGTACTTTTCTATGTTTTTTTCAATTTTCACTAAACATATAAAGCTTTTATTATGAAAGGTTTATTTTTAAAAATAAAGCATCAAAAATTTTAAAGTATTTTTCTGTTGAATCAATGCACATATGTTTTTTCAAGGTAGCTGATAATTTCTGATCAAAAAGAATCAATAAACATCAAATTATCACATATATTGTACCAAAACATAGTTTCATATGTATACATTAAACCATATAATCAAAGAGTCAAACACAAACCTTGTTTTTCTTCAGGTGTTTCTATATAATAAGGCATTCTTTTCATTGTTTCTCTAAACTCCTGTTTTAAGGCCAGCATATAATCTTCACCTTCTCCTGTTTTCAGTGGCACTGGTTTATAATCTGTATCCTATTTAAATTAAGAGATAACGTTGTTGTTGTTTTAAATAAATTAAAATTTAATATGCTCTTTGTCTATATTCTGTAAAATGTCAGTTTTATTTCCTGGGGTGGTCTGGGGGACTTATGACACACAGCCCATTTCCTACTTTCTTCTTATTTTAGAGGTAGGAAAGAAGCGTAATTTTCCTAACGGCCCTAAAAACCACACTGATAATCATTTTGTTGTATTACTAGTTTGTTAACTTATATGATTCCACATTTTAAAAATCAAGACTCCCAAAGGACAGCAAGTGCTCCAGTTTCCTATTAACCTCAATTGTTGTTAGGCACCATAGACACGGTTAATTTTCAACCTCATGTGACAGAGCAGAACTGGCCCATAGAGTTTTTAACACTGTAGTCTTTATAGGAGCATCACCAGGTCTTTCTCCCACAGAGCTGCTAGGTAGGTTCTAACTGCCTACTTTAGGGTTAGCAGCTGAGTGCTTAATCGTTGTGCCACCATTAGCCTCAATTAGTGGTGCTGATAATGGTGGGACAAATACTGTGTTAAAAAACAAACAAACCCAGAATGTACTCAATATTCAACATTCATTATTTTATTTAAAGCATTACCAATATTTCCCTTTTTACAGTGAAAAAACTGAGAAGTGAACAATTTGCAACCCTGTAATTGTTAGTAAATGGCAAAGTGAAGTTTGAACTTAAGTATTCAGATAGAAACACACACACACACACACACACATATATATGAGTTTTGTACATGTGTAAACACACACACATATTCATTAAAAACTGGGCCCTCAGGGTACACAGGGGACAAAAGATAGGGTATAATTTCAATTTGACTCAGAATTTATTCATTCATTTCACATCTATTTATTGAGTGCCTGCTATAAGCCAGACACTGTTAGACAACAGGTAAGATACCATGGCGAACTACTAAAAGTCCCTGCCCTCATGGAACTTACATTCTAGGGGTGAAACACAAAGCAAATAAGTGAGCAAATGAAATAATATATAATGTCAAGTGACATAAAAAAATTAAGCAGAGTAAAGAGTAACTGACAGCGTGCCTGGAGGATAAACATGGCTGGCCTGTTGGCAACTCAATTTCAGCAGAGACCTGGATGAAATTGGGAAGCCATTCACGCAAAGAACTGGGGACAGATGGCTACAGGCAGGGACACTGGCAGGAGGAAAGGCCTGAGGGAACAATGATGCCAGCAGGGCTGAGGAGTGAGAAGGACCGTGGTAGGAAAAGGATCAGAGAGATCAGACAGACCAGATCAGACAGAACCTTTTAGGAAGTAGTAAGGAATTTTAATTTTATTCCAAGTATAAAATAACACTCTGAACTAGCATTCCTAGTATTTAGAGATAATCTCTAATCAGGCATGGAGAAGAGCTTGGTCTTAAAGAAATCACCGTAGAGTAACATTATATGATTATAAGGCATATTTTGCCTTCCTGGTACTCTCAATACCAGAAAGGCAAAATATCAAAAGCAAACAGCAGAGACTGTCTATGCGAGAAATCTAGATTTTCAGAGACCTTTGCCTGGGACCCTTTACTTATACAAATCCTTCGATGAAGGACTTTTTTCTTGTGAAATAGGGAAGGGATTCCTAGGTAGAGGGATATCTTATTTTTTATGATTTTTAATTTTTTGTAGCACAGGACATACACCATCTGGAAATGTAAGCTTGTCTTTTAAACTACACATAAAGCAAAAGCATTAAACATTAATTATGCCAATTAAGCTTGAAGCATACTCTAAAAGCAACACTACATGTAGTAGAAATTATTATGTTTAGAGAAACAGCAATAAAATTCAAAGCCAATTTGATAAAATAGGGAAATAAGTAAAATACAGACAAAAGTTTAGTGGGAAAAAAAAAGGCCAAGTGGTATACTAAGAGACAAAATTAATTCTATAAGTATAATATAAGAAAATCATCAAGCAAAATATGGTAGGGTAGGAGATTTAAACCACTGTTAAAACCCAACTTGACTTTAAAATATGATTTTGAGATTGGAAGATATCAATAACAGCAAAAGAAGATACAAAGATTGAACAATAACTTTTTCTTGGTTCATACAGTACTGAGTAGATTTATGGAATAGCATATACTGTTTTGCTTTCTGTATTTTAAGAAAGCAGTCTGGAAATCAGAAAAAGTTCAGGGAAGAACAGTTGAAATATTTAAATTAAAGCCAAGTGAAACTTAGGCTCTCTTTTACTTTCTTATGATTTAGGATATCATAGTGATATCATATATTTAAGTCCTATACAGAATTTTAATATTCTCTGAAACATGAAAAACATACCATAAGAATTTAGCTATTAATGTACTTACAGGAAATACTGGGGGTGGTTTCAATACTACATCAGGTAACTTTTCACCTCTGGCAAATCCAACTGCTTCAATATTAAATGTATAAGCAGCACGTCCCCTTCCTTTATTCCCAGCCATCAGAACTGGTTATACCAGAAAAGTGAGCAAATTCTGAAAGACATCATTAATCATTAAGGTTTATTAGATTATATAAAAAAATGCAACTAATATTTTAAAGAAAATGTAAAACTCTACCCTTTACATAGCCTGGCCAATTTAAAATACTGGAAAGCAAACCCTGTGAAGAAATAAAATATGTTATATCTGATTCATGAACCACTCCCATCCAGTTGGCTAGGCAGGTGAGATGATGATGGCCTCAGCTCGCTCACTCAGGGTCCTGCGTGGAGGGCTGACCCTGTCTCCTCTGAGCCGCTGCCCTGACCACTGCACAGTCAGTGCAGGTAATTCCCTCCACCCATCGTGGAGTCACAACCGGGTCTCAGAGACATGTAAAAAATGTGGACAAGAAAAGGTCAGGCTGGTCAAAAGAGGAGGTGACCTTGCTTTTTTATACAGACTTCAAGACTAACATCAGTCATAGATATTTTAAAATTTTAAATGATTTATTCTTTCCAAAATCTGAGTATTAAAAAGGATCCTTGAAATGTAGTCCAATGCTGTCCTTTTAGAAATGGGATCAGTAAGGCCGTTGAAAAGGAGCCCTGGTGGCACAGCGGTTAAAGCGCTTAGCTGCTAACCAAAAGGTTGGCAGCTCAAATTCACCAGCCGCTCCGCGGGAGAAAGATGTGGCAGTCTGCTTCTGTAAAGATTTACAGCCTTGGAAACCCCACGGGCAGTTCAATTCTGTCCTACAGGGTTGCTATGAGTCGGAATTGACTCCATGGAAGTGGGTTTGGTTTCTTTTTTTTTTTTTTTTTTTTTGAGGGGGGGGGTAAGGCCCCTTAAAAGGGTTTTTCAAACAAAAAAAAAAAAAAAAAAAGTTTAGAGAAAAATAGATGAAATAGTTAAAGGTCAAATAAACCTATATTTTCAACAACTATGGGGACGGTAGTGATATGATAGTAAGGAATCTTATGAAACATGATTACAGTATTAGGTGAGAATTGAGCCAGCAGTGTACTTAGAAGGATTCCTACCCGAGGGCTCTTTCACTACAGCTCTGAATTCAACGGTAGTGATGATTATAATGCACCTTGTTTAAATGTCTTTCCCTATAGATAATATTGTGTCATTTAACCCTTTTAGCGCAAGTGATCTACAATACGTCTTCCCATTCTACCTGGGGGAAGATGATGAGCTACTGTGATTTCTGCCCCCTCAGTCTCATTTCTGAATCCAGTCAAAATTACACAAGCCACAAAACTTCACATAGTTGTATTCTCAGGGTTTCATTCCAGGATCAAAAGGTCATTAATGTAACTCATACCCACTAGGATGGCTACTAGCAGAAAAACTGAAAAATAACAAGTGTTGACGAGGATGTGGAGAAACTGGAACCCTAATCCATTGCTGGTGGTAATGCAGTACGGTGCAGCCGCTATAGAAAACAAATTGGCGGTTCCTCAAGAAGTTAAACAGGATTATCATATGATCCAGCAATCCCACTCCTAGGTATATACCAAAGAGACTAAAAAGCAGGGACTCAAACAGATACACGTACACCAACATTCACTGCAGCGTTATTCACAACAGAAAAAAATGGAAACAACCCAAGTGTCCATTAATAGATGAATGGATAAGACAAAATGTGGTGGTATTGTTAGGTGCCCTACAGTTGGTTTTGACTAATAGCAATCATATGTACAACAGAACAAACTACTGCCTGGTCCTATGTCATGCTCACAATCATTGCTGTGTTTGAGACAATTGTTGCAGCCACTGTGTCAATCCATCTTGTTGAGGGTCTTCCTCTCTTTTGCTGACCCTCTACTTTACCAAGCATGATGTCTTTCTTCAGGAACTGATCCCCCCTGATAAAACATCCAAAGTATGTGAAACGAAGTCTCGCCATCCTCGCTTCTAAAGAGCATTCTGGCTATACTTCTTCCAAGACAGATTTATTCATTCTTCTGGCAGTTCACAATATATTCAATATTCTTCGCCAACATCATAATTCAAACTCATCATTTCTTCTTCAGTCTTCCTTATTCATTGTCCAGCTTTTACATGCATATGAGGTGACTGAAAATACCATGTCTTGGGTCAGACACACTTTAGTCCTCAAAGTGACATCTTTGCTTTTTAACACTTTAAAGGATGTTTTGCTGTAAATCTATGTAGTACTCAGGATGTGATCCTCTGACCTTTTTAATTCATTTGCATGGAACAGCAATACCAAGGCACTGCACTTTAAAAGGTCCATTGATTGCACATTTTAAATGTCCTTATTACATTTATGGCTCCAGTTACACACATGGAATCAAATAATATATTCAACACCTTTCTATCCTGAAATATTGTTTCCTTTTTTCTTTTTGTGAATTGTTCCAATAGGATGGCATCTGATTTCATATAATGGCTATAAGAAACTGAGAACATATTCAGATATGATTTTGCACTGCACGTTTTGTACATTCATCCTCACATGCCTCCATATTTGAAAAGATTTCCCCTCTTAATAACTGCTAGAACATCAGAAGTTGATTTTATTATTATCTTTAATACTGCCATTTTAAACTAAGACTCTTTGTATGCCATTTTGTGGGGAAGTTGTTTTTCCAACTCATACTGAAATCCACAGCAGTGGATTTGTTGTTTTTAGTTTTTATTATGGACATTTCAATCATATACAAAACTACAGAGAACAGTAGAATGAACTCTCATGTACCAACCACTTAGCTTCAACAATTATCAGTATATGGCTACTTTCATTTCATCTATACTTTCCCACTCCCACCCCCACACTCCTGGATTATTTTGAGCTTTTCAGTATGTATTTTCTCTGAGAGGTAAGTGCTTTTTTTTTTTTTAAAAAAAAGAAAAAAGATATAATAACAATAACATCACATCTAAAAATTTAACAATAATCCTTCAATATCATTTTATACATAATCAGTATTCAAATTTCTTCAGTTGTCAGGTAAATGTTTGCTACATTTGGTTTGTTCAAATCAGGATACAAAAAGTTCACACATGATATTTGATTGACATGTCTCTAAAACGTCTTTTAAACTGTAACTGTTCTCCCTTCTTTTTTTTTTTTCTTACCATTTATTTACTGAAGAAACTAGGTCATGGTCCTGCACAATACTTCTCAAACTTTAAGATAAGTGCTAATTACGTACATGGGGGTCTTAAATGCAGATTCTGATTCAGTTGGTCCCTAGTATGGGTCCTGAGTTTCCGTACTTCTAAAAGAAAAAAAAATTCTCAGCAATACCAAGTTGCTGGTTTGCAGGCCACACTTTGAGTAGCAAGGCTGTATAGTTTCCCATATTCTGGATTTGGTTGATTGCATACCAGAGATGTGGTTAACACATTCCCCCATTCCCTGTATTTCCTATAAACAGGTGGACTAGAGGCTTAGGTTTGGGTTTGATTTTTGGTGCAATAATACTTAAAGGAGATGCTCTGTTTTTCCTACTGCATCACATCAGGATGCACATGAAGTTTCTCTCTTGGTGATGTTCTGGTGAGGGGGTTCAGGCACTGTAAGTCTGTTTCATCTAGTAAAACATTTCCCATCAGCTTTTCACCTAAGGATTTTAGGAGTCATTAATGATTATTGTCTAGATCCATTATTTCATTATGGATGGCAAAATGGTGATATACAAACTTTATGATTCTTTCTGTATTTATTAGCTGGAATTCTACCAGGAATCAACTTCTCTTATCTACTAAATTGAACCATAGTTCATACAGGAAAGGTACTTTTTTTAATTAATTGAGTTCATTCCATCTGTTCACACTACAAGAGAGAGAAAATATCCAAACGGCCTGGTTTCAACTGCTGAGTCACTGAAGCATATGCTGAGCCTACAAAAACCAGGTCTCCCAAGTATGGACATTGCTGAGCAGAAGGTTCACCCCTTTACTCTAAGAAGCTCATTGTGGGAGCCCAGTATGCATGGTCAAGATCACTGAGATTCCTTCCAGTTCAGGATTTGCCACTAACTAAAGATAGATAACAATTACAGGCAGGGTTTCCCAAACTTGCCTGTTGGTAAGAATTACCTGGGGGACTTGGTAAACTTAGAGAGTCCCAGGCACTTCTTAAGTTCTAAACCGGCTGCATCAGGATCTTCGGAACTGGCCCTGGGAAGCAGTTTGGAAAACTCACCCTAAAAAGAGAATACATTAACTAATCCTGCTTGATGGAAATACCAATTGAGAAATATCGAACTGCTGACTCAGAAATTCTGTATTTATCAAGCAATCTTTGAGTGCATAAATTGCTACCATTTAGTGGATCTACTACCCTCAGAAGAAAAAAAAAAAAAAAAAATCAGTCCTAGCTCTTGAGATACCCCTAATAATCACATGGTATTCTGGCCAAACAAACCCATCTTTCTAGTTTGGCTATGGTGAGTCAGTGCCAGATACCTGAGGGAGCTGGTAAATTCACTTTCCTGACTTACAGAGCTGAGGGATAGTCTCTGGACTCTGGTAACTGTCTCATGGAAGAAACTGCTCCCAAGTCTTTGAAATCCGTTAAATTGGTGTAACCACTACCTTGCTCCTTTTTCACCCTACCAGACTTCTTGAATGGTTTATACCAACTTTCCCCATATCCTCTTATCCAAATCTTCCTAACTTCGGAGGGCCCTAACTTCATTCAGTCATTCATTCAACCAATATTAATCATTCCAGGAACTGTGCAAGGAACCAGAGAGCACTGAAATAAAACTGAGTCCCTGCCTTCAGGACTGACACTTCAGTGGATGAAAGAATACTAATGAGTAAACAAGGAAGAGTGAAATATTATGTTTTGTCCTTTGGAAAAAAATAAATAATGGTAAAGGGAAAGAGAATAATGTAGGGCTATGGTGGTGACTAGAGTCCCTGGGCAGTGCAATCAGTTAAGCACTCAGCTACTAACCAAAAGGTTGGCAGTTCGAATCCACCCAAAGGCACCTCGAAAGAAAGGCCTGGCAATCTGTTTCCAAAAGATCACAGCCACTGAAAACACTAGGGAGTGCAATTCTACT